ACAATTAGATTTATGATTATACACAAGATATTATCAGAGATTATTCTTATTATTTCCTAAAAATACAAGTTTAAATGTTTATTTTTTGTTGTAACTCCTTCAGTGTATTAACCCGGAGAGGCTATGTTTTCAGTAATTTAGCTTTTTGTGGACATTCTCACAGGTGGGATTAAGATAATTTTAGAATTTTATCAATCTCAAGAGAAGATTCGTTCTATACTTATATATTCCTGAACTTTGTGTCTAAACAATATTATTCTGTTGATACATTCTTTGCCTATCTGCCTGAACTTGGTCTGAATATCAGACTGTGGGAATTTTTGATGTGTCCATAGTCAATAATATCAAATATTCTAAATTCTAAAATACTTAAACCCTGGTAGCACTAAGGCACTGAATAAATGTTGTTGCCTCTGAAGGGAAGTTTTTTGAATGTGATAATTTGGGTTTTTTAAATATAAAGTTAACCACATTACTATCTAATTATATCTTGTAAACACATGAATATTTTCTTTAAATACAACTTCATGCTTTTTGTCATTGTTGTTGGCAACTCTCACTTTTGCCTGACTGATCACCAAAGCAAATTAGCCCAGGTTCCAGAACTCAAACCTGTGTGTCTCAGTATTCACCTGTCCATCAATCTCTCTGCAGAAATTTGCAGATGGCCTACACTTTACTCACCTAAGGACCTACTGTGCTAAGGGTTTGGAGGAATGCAAAACCCAGAAGGCATCACCCTGGCACTCAAGGAACTGCTGGTATACTTCAAAGGATGTCTTAAAACCAAGACTTTTATTGTTCATTTTCATTGAACAAGTGAATCTGCTTAGCAACCCATGGTTGCCTGCTTCTTCTCATCCATTGGTAAGGGAGGGATCCTTGGTCTAGAGTTATGGAGATGGCCAAATATGACATCCAGCCCTAGATGGATGAGATCAGCATCTCATCAGTCACAAATGCTCATATCTCCAGGAACATAGATACCCCACAACATACAGTCCCTCAGAATAGAATGAATTGCAGGGAGAGTGAGAGGCAGGCTTTATAGTAAAAGGAAGGTAGGGTGGCCCTAAGTTACAGCAGAAGGATGTGATTGGCTTGTTTGAATAATTCCACAGTCTGAGAGGAAATCAAGACCAATTACTCAGGGATAATAAGCAGACACTGTGTCTGTTCCCTGTCATAGGAGGGCTGTTTGCTGGGAGGTCTAACCTAGGAGGGGAATTTGTGATTAGTTCATTTGAGCCCCTCCTGGTTTCCCCAGACTTCAAAGCACACATAATTGGGTCTTAATGATAGCACACTGTCTGTATAAGTCTTTGAATTAAATGCTATAGAAAAATAGCATTTGTTTTAAGTAGCACTTGCCTTTAGGAAATATGCAGTCAAGTAAGGGATTTATAAGTCTAATAAATGTAAAAGTATATTTTAAAATGACTAAATGTAATAAAAGGCACAAAGAAAAGTCCCAAGTGACGAGAAGCATAGAGGTCCCCCTGTCTATAAGAATCTAGAAAAGTCTGGTGAGGAGGAGCACAAAATTTCTATTAGATCTTAATAAATGTATATAATTTTAGCAAACACAGGAAGACAGCAAGAAGGGAGACAGGCCAGAGCAAAGACAGACAGGAAAGCAAAGAACATGTTCTAAAATGTCCAGGAGTCTAGTTGGAGCACAGAATGTGCAGAAGAAACTTGAAGAGAAAAAAAGAATCGGATTGTGAAGGGATTTTAATTTATACTTTAACGCAGTGGAATCCGGAGGGGTCTGAGCTGGTTAATGGAGAAGTCAGAGCTGCTTGTGCTTAATCTGATAGGTTTGCAGGTGATGTCTGGGATGGGAAGACAGGCTAATGATAAGCAGGTAGGAAGCTGGTATAGCAGCATGAGTGAGAAATCAAGAGGTCTTGATCCAGAAGAGCAGAAGTACAAGTAGTGAGAAAGTAACAGAAAGGAGGAAAGGCAAATTTGATAATATTCAGAGAGAAAGAGGTCAGACTATGTTCTGAGTCAGGGCAACTGTTTCAAACCATTTGTGTATAACGTAGGACAACTGATTCTGTGGGGCAGAAAATAATTACTTTATTCTCCAACCTATTTGTAAATTAATTTGCTTAACAGCCCCTTGTTTGTTAGAAGTTTTATACCTCCTGAGCACTTGAGAAATAGAGAAGACCTTACAGGAACTGTATTTCYCTCCTCATTGGTGCAGTAGTTATGTTTTGAGGTATGAAATCTGCTTGTTTCACATAAAATTCCCCTCATCCCAAAGGGGAAAGTTGGCTTCACTGGAAACCAGGAAAACTGAGATCCTCATGTGTGGGAGGCTGCTCTGCCTTAGTTGGGAGCTGCTGTTCTTAGTAAAGTTTTGCCTCAGTACTCTTGTTAACAGGCAGCATCCCAGGAGGTGCTTGCATTTTTTATTTTTTTGTACTGGGAATTGAACTCAGGGGAAGTCAACCACTGAACCATACCCTCAACCCTATTTTGTATTTTAGAGACAGGCTCTCACTGAGTTGCTTAGTATACCTCACTGTTGCTAAGGCTGGCTTTGAACTTGCGCTCCTCCTGTCTCAGTCTCCTGAGCCACTGGGATTACAAGCTTGTGCCACTGTGCCTGGATGAGATGCTTGCATTTTTAAGTGAATCATTTTTATTTTCACTGAGGGTTTGCTAGAGATATGTAGGATATATGAATTCCATTTGTACTCAACATGGTACACGTGAAGTTCATACATCCGAGCATTAACACCAGAGAATCAAATGTTTAATTTCCAGATTTCCCCTTTCTCTCTCCCTCCTCACTTCCAACATTGCCTAAAACTCACAAGGTCAGTGTTGTAGGAGCAAGATAGGTGTTGCTTTCACTAGGAGAACTTTGGCTCATTAGAGTAGTTCACCTCTTCACTCTGCAGGATTCCCTAGTCAGATGCTTGGGGTAAAGATGGTTCTTGCCTAGAACTTTTCAAGAGCTATTGCTGAAATGTTCAATATGCTTTTCATAAAATTCAAGTTCTTGGACCATGAGAAAATACACAAGTGGTAGAAAACCATTAGAGTGATAGACTCGGATGGATTGAAAATGTGATCTTCAAATATCTGATGAAGAATTATTAGACACATTTACACGGCTTCTAAACAAAGGATTCCAAACTATAAACAAATTTTGTTTTCATATACCTTTACCTGTACTAAGAGTTTGTGTGTTTTCTTGCCATAAAAACATTCAAGCATAAGCTAACCAGCCTTTTAGGAGGGAATTCTGAGGGGAATTCAGTGATCTATTAGGAAATTTGGACCACAGCTTCAATGTCTCTTCCAAATCTGAGTGTCTGTGGTTCTTAGTTTCAATGGGTTGATAGAGAATCATGAAATCTATGTTGTTGGGGCAAGGGGACATGGTCTATCTTACTTGCCATACCTTGAAATGTCACATTTTATCTGCACATGTTTCATCTGTTTTGAGGTCTGTGTATTATGCCCGTGTCTTGTCTTCTCAGAGCCCGTGTCTGATTCATTCTAGTACAATCTAAAGTGTCTGATATAGTGATTTGATCACAAAAGAAGGCATTTTAAAATATTCATGGAGTAGTAAAGGAATCTATAAATAAATATGCAAATGTAAAATTCATTGATCTGCCCCTGCCCACTGTGTGTTTCCCTGTATATAAGTATGTGGATGTCAGTTAATGGCAGTATCCACTATCCAGTTGCTCAGGCCAAGAACCTCCTTATCTTACACCTCACAGTCTATCCATCAGGAAGTTGTGAAAGCTCCATTTTCAACATATCTCACATTTCTAATGAGTTCTCACAAGCCCCAACACTATAACTAGACTAGACTAAGGGTCAGCAAACTAATTTTGTGGGTCAAATATAGCCTGCCATCTGTTTTGGTAAATAGTTTTATTGGAATATTGTCACTCATTTATTTTACGTGTTAACTGCTGCTTTCAGTGTCACAATGGCTGAGTATATGCAAAGGTGTGAAAGAGAACCAGTGACCCTTTAGAGAAGAATTTGCTTAAGATAGTCATAGGGTTTTCTGTCAACATTCTTTTTCGTTTCTACAACCCTTTAAGAATATAAAAACCATTATTAGTTCAGGACTTCCCTGTTGACTTTGCTCACTCCTGTTCCAAACCAATGGTTCTTTTCAAGCATAAATTAAGTCGCATCACTTCATGTTAAAAGTCTCCAAAGGCTTCTCATTACATGTAAAGTCCAAATGTCTTACACCTATAAATTCTTTGGGGTCCAGCTGCAGTTAAGTCTATAACTTAAGTACACAAGCCTTACACCAATAGCATTTCACCATGTKCTCCATATCTGGCTCTGTCCCTATTTGGTTCCGATGATAGGATCTCAAACTTGCCAGGTATGTGCTTCTGCCTTGGGGAATTTGTGCTCTTTGTTTTTCTGCCTGGAATACCTGTGCCCAGATTTTTTCAGGTGGGTTATTCTCATTCAGGTCAGATTTTCTCTGACCACTCCCATCTAAAGTAGATTTTCCTCTGCCTGCTCTCTCCTGCATTGTCTCCCTTTACTTTGCATCTTCAAAGTAGTTCTACAAGACTACGTTATTTATTTTATATCTTTGTTAATTTGGCTGTGATCTGTCTGCTTTACCAGAATGTAAGCACCCTGAGGAGAGTATGTGGTCACTGCAGAATCAGCAGCTCCTGCAGGTGTCAGTATTGAATTGTAGGTATTTAATACATATTTGTTGAAAGGATGATTGGCTAGTTACTTCTAGTGAATATTCTCTCCTTTTTCAATTATTAGGGAATGCATTCATACTGATTCCCCACTGGACACACTGTTTCTTAGAGGTTTTGAGAATGACATGTACTGTCTTCATGTATGTCCAACAGCCCATGGGCCTCCTCTCCATCCTCGAAGAAAATTGCCTTTCCTAAGGCTACAGACACAACTTTCAAGAAAAAAACTCTTTTGAACAGTTGATTTATTTCCAGAAGCCCAAGTCTGACGAGAAGGGGAACTATGAAGCTCACTTTAAACTCATCCATTATGGCGGAGTGGAAAGTTATCGGTACCTCCCGTCCTGAATTTTCCTGACTCTGTTTCAAATGCACTTAGCCAAAGCCCTCAGATAATATTTAAGTAAAGTTTAGGTTAAATGAAGAGATGAACAAAACACACCTCAGTTCCAAAGGAAAGGTAGTGTACCTTTCTGCACTCAGGAAGTGAAACAGCATCCCATGTGCACAGAGGTCWAAAATTTCAAAACGGACTCTGTCACCCCAACTCAAAGCAGGACTACCGCAGAAGGGAATGGATACCATCAAAGACATTTTTTTTTTCTTATTTGTCCTCTTTTTAACTCAACATTGTTTGAATGTGAATTATTTCAATCGATCTTTTTATTGAAGAGGTTTTTTTTTGTTCTCCCATAAAGAGTCAGTGTCCAATGGTGGTCTCTAAACTATGGCCCACAAAGTTTTCTAATGACCCTCATCCTTTTCTCATTTCCCCACTAGTGCATGTTCCCTTCTCCCCCCCCCCTCCCCGCTTTTCTACTTCTGTCCAGTGTTTCTGGGTGGAACAGAAAGAGAACTGATAAAAAAAAAAATGTTTCAAACTAAAAATGGCTTTCCAAGTGTCCCCATATGTGCTAATAGTTCTTTTTGATATCTTGTAATATTATTAAATAGCATGATTTTTACAGTAAAATGCCATTATATTTGCTATCTTTTTTTTTTCCAAGTGCTCACTGTGGTCAGGGGCAGTTGACAGTTTATCTAGCCTTGCCTGTGAAAGACTGCCCAGGTGAATTATTAATACTGGAAATGATTTAATGCTTTCTTGCTGTCCCTTTCCCTCCCTTCCCCCCCCCACCACTTCCACCTTCTGTTACTACTTCTTTGCYCCTTTCTTCTTGTTCCTATCTCTTCCTTTCTTTTTGACAACTAAATGGTGAAGCTTGAAAATCTCTTTGGGCTGCACAGTGAAATTCTGGGGTATCAGTACGGTTATATCAAACTGTTTTAAAATAAAGGACCCGCACAATTTGTGATGTTTTTCAAGTAACGTACAATTTGCTGTGTCAATTCATGCACTTTCCCTCTTTTGTTACCGAAGTGCATGCCTTAAAACATCAGTGGCTGGCTTGAAAAGAACAAAGACCTTAATGAAACAGTGGTGGCAGTACTTCAGAAGTGTTCCAACAGACTCCTGGCAAGCCTTTTGGAAAATTACATCAGTACTGACAGTGGTAAGTCAATCAATCTTCCTTGATTTTTTTCAGCCTCAGAATGAAACCCATGGGTTTTTCAGCTCTTACAAAAATTCTTGCTTCTTTCCTGTGATATCTATTTCTATTCCCTGTGGTCTGAATCATCATCTCTTATTGGCCTTTCTATCCTCAGGCTGCTGGTTCTTCAGAGAAATGGTGTTGGTGCACTGAGAGGTATTTCAAGAAGTCCATTTTTATCCTGCTTTTATTTCCTATTTGACTTATCTGCAAAGAGAGAATTTAAAAAAAAACATTTTGATAAATGGTTTGGGAGCAATAGCCAGCCCCAAATGTATACAATCGTGCATTGCTTAAAGATGGAGATGTTTTGAGAAATAACTCCTTAGGGATATTATCCTTCTGCAAACATCATGAAGTGTATTTACACCTAGATGGTCTAAATCAATCACTTGACAGGCCCCTTGAGGGAACATTAGTAACTTGATAAATTCAGTAAACAATAAAGAATATATACTATGGTAAATACATAAGTGAGCAAAATAGTCATTTGTTATCATTATCAAGTATTATGTACTATACATAATTGCATGTGCTCTACTTTCAAAAGACTGGCAACACCAACATCATGACCAATATGTAAGCAATGTGTTGCACTATTTACAGCAGTATAAGGGCAACAATGTCACTGGAAAATGATTTCTAAATAATAATAATTCATCTTAATCTTATGGGATCACTGTTATATAATGTCAGAGACTATGTGAGGCAGGACTGTATATATATATATATTTGTGTGTGTGTATGGAAAGCGAGGAGGGAGGGAGGGAGARAGAGGACTTTATCTTGCAGGTATAAGGACAGAAGTATTAAGAGTAACAGCTCAAAAAAACAAAAGCCAAATGTTTTCTCTGATTTGCAGATGCTAATTCCCAATGAGGAGGTCAAGGGAAAAATAGAATTACTTTAGATTAGGTAGTAGGGAATGAAAGGAGAGGAGGGGGAATCGGGGTAGTCAGGAGAGTAGAATGAATAAGACATTATTACCCTATGTACATATATAACTATATGACCAGTGCGATTCTACATCATGTACAACAAGAAGAATAAGAAAATATACTCCCTTTATATGATGTATCAAAGTGCATTCTACTGTCATTTGTAACTAATTAAAACAAATTTAAAATTTTTTAAAAAATAAATAAATGAAGGTGCACTAGGCAAGTAGCTCAAAGGTCTAAGTGGTTATGTGATTCTGCCAGCACAGATTATATGACGTGTGAGCAAGGAGCAACCTAACCATTTGAACTTGTTTATTCACCGAAGGGAGGGAGGGAGGAGAGGGAGAGAGAGAAAGGAAGGAATTCTGAACCTTAAAAAAAAAAAGTAGCCTCTCCAATTTTTTGAATCTACTAAATGGCAAAGTCTAGGTAGTAACTAAGACTGTTTCCTAATCCCATGTCTATTCTACTCTCACTCCCATTCATTTATGATTCAGTGAACACTTCTGCATTATTATACAATGGGTTTAAAGACACTGAGCCCAAGTGGTTGACACCAGACTCACAGCTGGACTAACAGTAACCACAGAGAGAAGCTCTGCATGATTTACAGCAAAGGTCACAGTTTGGCAGTTTCTGAGTAGAATCTGGTCTTCAGATATGTTTTGTTGGTCCACACAGGTTAAAAAAAAAGTCAAAGGATTTCACACCTGTGGATTTCCCTTTTTCTTATGAAAAATGAAAATTCTGGGAAAATACAAAATCTGACCAGCCTGGTTTCAGATTCCCTCATGGCAGCAGTGGGGCAAAGTGCACCAGCTGTTCTTTAAATGGGTCTCATACTCTCACTTCCTAATGTCCTCACCTTCCTATCATCTTACACCCAGCTTCTCCTGAACTCCTGACCCCTACTGATACCGCTGGTCATCAGTGAGGGGTACTGCTCTCTCACATGTTGAAGTATAACATTATATGGTTGCGTTTGCATGCTTCTCTAAAGCAGGTTTTATATAAGAAGGGGTAACATAGACTTCTCCTGGGAGGGAGGAGGGGGCCATAGCTGGTATCATGTATCCCAAGTAGTGAGAGCATTCTGCCTTTTTTATAGGACTTAGATCCAGGAGATGCTCAGTGAGATGGCCAAAATGTGAGAAGCAGATGGGATGGAGGGGCTGAAGTGGTGTGATCTGGGTAGGAAGGGGGCATAATCAACAACTGTTGTAACTCCCTGTAGGGAGGGACAATCCCTGGGACAGGTTACCTTAGCAAAGGTTAGAGGAAGGGCTCTGAMGGAATTAACATTTCAATCCCTCCATTTTCTGGATCTGACCCTTGCCTATCTGCCTAATTCTGGCTTCACTATCAGGCTGATTTGGGACTCTTGATTGCTGGGTTAATCAGGGAATGGAGAAAGCAGTTAGCACTTTCTAGATTCATTAGCCCATGATGACACAATTCAGGAGCATGCTTGAAATCCTCTGGGCCTGCTTTAAGAGGTGGTKGAGAAATGGAAGCTCTTGGGTTTGGACTCTGCTAGTCATCAGGCTGTGCATTTGCCCGATTCTAACAGCTTCTCAGTTGCCTCTGAGGAGTCTGTAAGATAGTGGCCACATAAGCTTATGGCTCCCAGTTGAGTAATTTTCTGTTCATGAGAGGTCAAAGAGTGGTTTAGGCAGAGAATTAGGAAACACTCTTCTAACTCTTCAGGGTGTGTGCCATGTTCTGGAACTAAAAGAATTGTCTAGAATATAAGATGTCCATTTTCTTCTTTTTCTTTTTGTATTTACTTAAGTACTCCCTAAAAATAATTGCCTCCAAGTTTTTATGCATTTCAACATTAAATTTCTATAATAACCATATTTTTTTCTGGGAATCTTAAGTACTTTAACCAGAGTTGTGAGGTTTTTTTTTTTTTCAATTAAAAAAAATAATAAGTGGCAGGGGGAGCATGGGAGGAATGGAGGAAATTTACCTAGGGCAAAGGGGAGGGAGGGGAAGAGAGGTATGGGGGTAGGAAGGATGGTGGAATGAGATGGGCATCATTTACCCTAAGTACATGTATGAATACACGAATGATGTGACTCTACTTTGTGTACAACCAGAGACATGAAAAATTGTACTCTATTTGTGTAATATGAATTAAAATGCATTCTGCTGTCATGTATGACAGAATAAATAATTAAAAAACTAAAAAAATGCATGTAGCATATGGCACATAATGATCACACTATTTCATTCTATTATAAACTCAGGAGCAAAATAAACTTAAAATATTCTCTAAATATAAAAAAGTACTACTAATAAAAAAGACAAGTTATTACCTTCTCATATATATAAAAAAAAAAAACCTGAAGTACAAAGAGGTCAAATGACACATAGAGAATGCAGGGCYTCCCAAAAGGACGTTAGTAATTAAGGTTCATCAAATCTGCCTCCACACAGTTGCTTGTCAGAGAGCTTTTTTTTTTTTCTATTTTCTCCTGGTTGCCTATGGATTTTCTTGTTGCTATTGTTGTACATCTTAGTGAGTTTGCATGAYAAATATTTGTAAGATAGTTTGGCTGAGTATAGGTTCAAGAAGACAAAATGATATAATTTTTATAAATCATAAAATTAATACATGAATGTTGCCAAAAACACAGAGAATAAAACTAAAAAGAACATAAAAATTATCTATAATCCAAAATAGAGAAATAACAATTGTTAATGCAAATAAGCCTCCCAACACTTTTTATGTTTATAGTCATCTATAACACAACTGTGCTTAAAAACTGCATGATTCAGGATCATAATGCACAAAGCATAGGTTCTGTAACCTACTTTTCTGTTAACATAAATTCTAGCATTCTTTCCACATTAATTATATGCATCTATGTCATTTTAAAAAGTTAGTGTGTCCCTTCAGAATTTAATCAATCTTCTGTTGATAAAATTTGTTAATATTTTATTTTGTTTGTAATGACTAAATAATGCTTCAATGAGTATCTTTACACTGTTGCCTGATTACTTCCTTAAGAAAAAGCACCAGAAAAAGATATTTTAAGAGATGTAAATGGTAATATTTGAAGCTCTTGGTGAATATTGCACTATTGTCTCTAGAATTTTGATGAATTCATGCTTCCATCAGCAGAGTATGTGATAGAAGAGTTTGTATTTGTTTTATTTGTTTGTTGGTTGGTTTGATTATTTTTTAGTACTGGGGATTGAGCCCAGGGGTGCTTAACCACTAAGTCACATCCCCAGCCCTTTTTATTTTTTGAGACAGAGTCTTGCTAATTTCCTGAGGCTGGTCTTGAACTTGTGATCCATCTGCCTCAGCCTCCTGAGTTGCTGGGATTACAGGTGTGCACCATTGTGCCCAGCATAATAGAGCTTTCTAAATGCCATTGCCTATCTCCTCCTCCTCCAAACCCTCCTTTTCTTTCTCCTTTTTTCTTTTCCTTCTATACAGTTTGAGTAGGAGAGATGTCAGAAAGGAGCTTCATTCTAATATCATCTCTGCATAAAGTAGTTTAATTAAATCTATTCACGTATTAACTGTCTCACAATCTGCATTTATTATTACTTATTTGAAATTTCACATCTCTAAATTAGGGTAAAGTATGTGAAGTTAACCAAGTTGAAACAGTTGAAATTTATCTTGGTATTTTTTTAAGGATTTTAGAGGACAGTGTTGGTCACCTATCTTGGTTACCTTTGTCTGTCCTGTACCCATTTTCCAGTTAATGTGAATCCTACCTTATGAAACATCCCAGTTACAGAACTGTCTTTGACCAAGAGGGAAGCTAATCTGCCTCCTTTTCCTCTACTCCAGACTCCGTCCCCTTCTTTGCCTCCACAAAAGACCATCTGTCCTGCAATTGGTGCATTGTGCTCACAGGTACTGCAGGGTTCAGACAGAAGCCAAGCTGACACCATTCCCTTTTTAATTCCCCTGCTTCCCTCACTACCCAAATAAACCTCTCAAACCAGAATATGAATCTCAGATTCTATTTCCACAGAACCTGACCTAAAGTGAAGGTTTTCAATAGATAGAAAACTTGATTATTTTTTGTAAGCCATTTTATTGCTCAGTCATAACTCATTGCTATTGAACTCAATCAATACAAGTGGACATGATTCATAATAGAATTATGTCAGGGAAATACTGACTTGCCAAAGGAAAGAAATAATGTGTTTTGGTAAGCAGGGAATAATGTTGTATTCATTGTTTTACTCTTGGTGTGCATGTTTGGTCTAAGATTACATTGACAGATTTGGAGATATTTGTGAAGTGGATTGGTATTCTTAGAGACTTGAAAAGTGATTTTGTATTTATTATGGTCTCCATTTTAGGAAACGTGAAATATATTGGTGACTAATCTGAAGTCAATAGTGCTTAATTTTGTGAGATGCATAAATCCCCAGTGAACCGAATGCCAGGTCAGAGTTAGATATTTTGTAATCTATACTAGGAAACCCATTTCATTTCAGCTTTGATGAATGTATTTTTAAGAATCACTTACTGGCCCATTTTTCATAAGGGCTGATTTTTAGATAGAAAAATGAAAGCAAGTTAAAAGTAAGGTCTTTGGAACCTCTTCATGGCTGACTTTGAATTGAGATTCAAGTGGACATGTTGAAAGGTTTTCACAAAGCTGGCTGTATTCAGAAATATCAGTGCTTGGTATTGCTACTTCTATTTCAACTTGAATTTTGTGTTAAAATGTAAGTGTGCTCCTATTCTAATTTCTAGGAGGGCAAATTGTAGTAAAAAAAGGGATTGAATAATCAATTGGGGGATTAGGATAGATATTTCAGAATAAAGGATATTACTTTGTCTGAATTACCTAAATTGACGTACGATAAAGACGGTTTGCAAATCCATCTTTAATTGTGAAAAGCTCCCTCTAATCTTTCTTCCCAATAGGAACACCTTCTCTGTCTGATGGTATCCATTTCTTAGTTATGTGCTTCTGACAAGTGAATCGGTGGTAGGGGGATAATGGGCTGGGCCATAGTGGCAAATTCTGAAAGTGTTTTTATTTGCAAAACAATTTTTTATGCTATTAACACAGATTCTCTTCCTTAAATAGTGGATTTGAAGATTGCCATCYTCTATTTGGAATTCTAGTCGCCCCTGGAGCTATGGTTGGAGCTCCCAGCCTCAAATGAGCATATCTGATGAGCACCTGTGTCTTCAGGGCACTAACCACCCTTGGAATATGTGGCCAGATGTTTCTAATTCTAGTTTCTGAGGTTCTGTACTAGCTTGCGTTTGTTTTTTTTTTTTTTTTTTTTTAATTAACCTACTGTAATTAAGACCCCAGTTTTGACAGTCTGTGTCCTATTTTGGGAAAGTGTGATGCCAAACAATGGAAATGGAAAAAGTTGGAGCTTTTGCAATGCAAACACTTCATGTTCATTCAGGGCTTTATGTTTTTGCCTCATTGTTTCTTATCAGCTGGGTTTCTGAATGCATCTAAGAACACTGCTTCCATCTAGCAAGGAAACTAATTAGAGGCCTCTATTTGGAGCAATTCTGTTACCTATTAGAGTTGTCTTCCATCCAGGCAGCTTCGATTTCAATAGGTTTTCAAGAAAAGCTTCATGATGTAATCAAAACAATTCATATGTACTTAAAGGGGAACAGATGTTGTTTGATCTCGAGGTATCTGAGAACTCTACATTCCCCTTGTTATAGATCATCTGTTTCTGTCCCTGACAGGGATTGGGGTACAGGTAGATAGTTTATTTCTGTGATTCTAGACATAGGCAGAGTCACAGCATATTTTGTTAGGATTACCCCTTGGATTCTCCCAGGAGAACTGGTGAAAGGTTTTTCAAAGGCTTCTATCAGAGATTTCAGCTGATTGCTGTAATAGAGCTGCTTTTGATGGAAAAAAGAGGTTGATAGGAGGATGCTTAGACTGTAGAATAAAATTTAGTCAACGTAATAGGAACAATGAAGATCAGGATGTGGCCAAGTCCTTTCTCAGTAAATTGTAAACAGAATTTTGAGTTTGTGCCTATTCCCCATTTTTTCCTCCCTCCTACCTGGAGATGGCAGTGCACATTTTTGGTCTTGTCATTTCTACCTGTTTTCTGGTTAACAAATGGATAAGATACCAGCCATTTGGATTCTAGCAAAATAATGTCCTTTTTTCTTCATCTTCAAGGAGTATTTGCTTAAAATCTGATCTGTGAACTCAGAGGCTTGTTCCATATTAATGAAATTTCAGATAAAACATTTAGAGACTCTTCCATAAGAGATGGGCACTGTGAGCACCATCAGGCTGGGAGTAAGTAAATGCCTATGACCTTTGCACACCAAATTCAGATTTTTTTTAATCCAAGATGCAGGAATTAGGACAAAATCTGGGATAGTCATTATTAGGCACTGACCCAGTGTGACCCTGTTCTAAAGGTGCAATGGACCATTTTTAGCATTCTTCAGCAGCTGTGCCATAATGATATCATGGAAGGGAGTAAGATGTACCATAAAGGTTTTCCAAACTGACTGCTATATGGTGATTTTAAACAAAGGGAAACATGTTTTCTAGGATCCCAGAAATGTGAGGCTGTCCATTCTGTTTCATTCTCTGAGTGTTTAGGCCCACAGTATTTGTTTGGTGGATGTCCTCCAGACTACAAATCGGTGGGTTTTGGTGTCGGTGAGAAATATGATGACAGAGTTCCATTTTTATTTCTCTTTAAATTCAACATCTATGAAGCTGTAATATCCTTAAATCTCTATTAACAGATAATAGGCCCACATTGAGAAGAAATATGTACAGAAGAAAAACCAGGAACTTAAAATGAATCTCTGAAATGTTGTGCATAATCAATAGTAGCTGGTATCTGAGCAGGAGGATGCTCTCCTAGCAAGCCTGTGAATGGAAGGAAGCCAGCATGTTGCATGGTAGGAGGTGAATCTTTGCCTTCCATTTCCCAAATTCTAAAAGTGGAAGTAATGATCATAATCATGAAGCCAATTTTAGCAAAGTGTAGTAGAGAGAAGTGTACCAGTCTCAGAATCAAGCATATATGGCATTCTCCCCCATCTCACCAATAGAGTAAAAGAATCTTGGAAAAGATACTTAATATCTCTGCATTCAGTTCTGTATCTACCTACCTGATAGAGATACTTATTCTTGCTTCCATTTTTATTTCTCCTTCCAATACGTCTCCAAATTGAGCAGACAAACAAATGAGATTCATCACTGAAGCACTGTAAAAAGTGTTGAATGTTTTCTTTCATGTGCAGAAATTAGAGCAAACAGGGGGAAGGGAGCTAATGATATATAAAAAAGATAGAGGGAAGGTGCAGAAGAAGGAGAAAAAAGGGGATGGATAGGAAAGAGAAGGAAATGCCTAATGAACTTGACAAAATTGCACTATGTGCATGTGTATCTATAAAGTGCCAACTGAAAATAAGTTGAAGGTACACCAGTAGAGAAGAGGAAGATAAATAGTGGGAGGGAGAAGGGGAAGGAAAGGAGGGGAATAGGGAACTGATATATGGTAAATGAAATTCCATGTGTGTATGATTATATCAAAATGAACCCAACTATTATGTACAAATAATACATCTGATGGTGATCACAGTGCCTTTTAGTTAAAACAAAAAGGAAAAAAATACAAAACTATTATACCAATGGAAGAGACTACTTCTTTTTTCTTCATTATTGTTTCCAAAAATTTGGTGAAAATTGCAATATTAGTAGTAGAAATAGATATACCTGTATTTTCTTTCTCCCCACTTGTCCAGATTAATCTTCACTTGAATCACATAATCCCTCCGACCCCATTTTAAATTAAGCAGTGCATTCTGAAACCCAATGACCTTTCTAAAGAGCAAGTCTGAGAGCAGCAGAAAAGCAACTGAAGAACTTTTTGGCTCCTTGGAGATAGGCACACCCAGTACCAACTTGGAGTCACTAAGGTAACCAGGAAATTGCAAAGAAAGCATTTGGAGAAGAGTAGGAGGAAGGAGTGTGTCTCCTAAAAATATCCATGAACACTAAATTATAATATGAGGTATTCTTTAGCTCTTATGACCAAAAATAACACAAATAGAGCTCAGTTCAAAGTGGAGGTTTCAGTGCTGTTGAAATTCAATGCTACTTAAATCTCAGCCTTGACTACATTTAYATTTTTTTATAATTAATCATAGAAGCAAATTTGTGCTGATATATAAAATACTGAATCAATCTTAACAGTGCTAGAAAGCTGTACACAAATCAAAGCTTCCTGGAGTTAACTGCTTGTCTGTGAGCTGATTTGTCTACTGTGTGCTCTTTTAAGGAATACATTTTTTAAGCTATCTGAATAATTTTTACAAGAATTTAACAACTTTAATACCAACCAACCATTCAGTAAATGAATAAATAACCCAACTGTCTGACTTAAATGTGATTCTCTAAATTCTACTACATCTAAGAGACCCAGGTATTTTGGGAATCCACTGATTGGTCTTATCTGGTAGTCAACATCAGGTTGCTCCTAATGGCATCCATAAGGACCAAATTATTTGGAGGAGATTAGGAGGATCCAGTGTAGAACCCAGAGAAAAAGAACTCTGTAGGATATGTTTATGAAATGTTAATTGACTCTTAAGTTTTGAGTACTTGGAAATCAGTCTATTATTTCCAGTGATTTTTGTTAACGGTACCTCACTTCCTGGTATGTCCAGTTATTTTTGCTATATAGCACTCATCTGGGTCAAAATTCACATGAGGCAATTGAGGCTCCTAAGGCACATATTTAAAGGGGCACTGACTCTTACAATTGTGTATATTTTAAGGGGGCACTCACAGGTTTGTGTAAGGTACCTTTAAGGAAGTACTCTAAGTGAGTGCTTCCCAAAAATTTGTGCTTCTGGCAACTTGCTTTACCTGGGTTGCTATTAATTACTCTTGAAAAAATATCATATTGAATCATTGACACATGGGACAAATGTGCCTTCTTCCAGAAGAGGGGTCAATAGGGCCATATCATGGCCTATTTTTAAAATATGGTCCACTAGCTAAAAGTGTGTTTACATTTTTAAAGAAGTTATTTGAAAACAAATAAGAATATCCTACAGAGATTGTATGGAAAAAGCTTATGGACCCCTCCAGGCACTTTAAAGCACTTTATGCCTGCACCCATCTGGGACCTTAAACCGGGTGCTCTAACTATTATTAATAAGAGGAAGGATGGTATTAATTATTAAGCAAACACAAAACCCACAGATTAAGTAAAATATTCTTCCCAAAGACTTAGAAACCAAAACTTTCTAGGGTGTGTATTTTATACATTAAATACAATCCAAGAAGACACRAGACTGATAAGGTTATCCTGAAGAATACTTTGATTGTTTATAGTCATTCAACACATATTTGCTGAACATCTCTGATGAATGAAACTAATATCTGATTTTTAAATTTTTTTTAATCTGGCTCTCTGGCAAGAAACTAATCATGAAAGACTATCTATCTAGTCTTCCATTGTTCCAAGTCAAACATACTAAAAAATGATGTGATTCATATTCCAGAAGATTCTAGAAGAAAGGTATTATATTTCTTATTTCTCTACTCTGAATCCCTATTGCTGCATAATTTGTGCCTTGATCTAATTAGTGCCTCGATCAATGTGACTCTATCTCAGGGTTGTGGTAAAGAGATGCTTCCTCTGATTAGGCTGAGTCTAAAACGTTTTTAAATCATAGCATACCAAAAAGACAGTGTGATGGACTTTATCGCCTTATCTAACCAAGTATGAGCGTAATTCAGATATTACTTCCGTTGCTTCTAGCTTTCCCATTGGGAGGGATTGTTTATGGTCTAGAAGTGTAGACCTCTGCAGGTGGTGTGTCTCACAATTTACAGCAGAAGCAGACCTGCACAGGCCTGCACACCTACCCCACCGCCAACTCTGCAGGGAAGATGGCGTCAGAGTGGGGAGGTGTTATGACCACTTTATTGCTTCCCCTGGGTCAGAAAATATGGCTTTTGGTGACATGTAATCACAAGTTTTTGTCTCAGGCAGGTTCAGTAGAGGCATTTATCACTACCTTTGGACACTTCCATGTAGGTTTTGTCTATTCTCTAATAGAATTATGGAAAGCAAGCTAAAAAAAAAATCTCCAGAGACTGTCAGCAAGGGATTCTGCAGTGGTTGTAGTCACCTTTTCCTTAACATAATTTATATTCTGGAGAGACGTCTACAGGTTCTTAGTAAAACTTGTTCAATTGACAATTTGTTTCTCAGTTTGCCTAAAGAAATAAATATTGTTGCATGGATGTCAAAGATATTAATGAGGCAACATTTTAAGGGTTTTCTGTGACTTTCAGATAGTGTTCAATGTGGTATGGGAGTTTGGGGATCCTGTGAATATAGCTTCTAGGATTGGTTGCATAAACTGGGGTATAACTCTTAATTTCTCTGTGGTTCACTTCCTTATTTCTAAGTGAGGCCATTATGACCTGTTCATTATAAGTCATGGAAGCTCTATTTTGTTACCCCCTCTAATTGCTGACAAAAAATAATTATTATTATTTAATATCTGATATTTTATCTAATATCTAATATCTGATTTTTTTTTTTTTTTGCCTGATCTGACTTGGAACAATGAAAGACTAGATAGTCTTTCATGATTAATTTCTTGCTAGTGGTCCAGAGAGCCATCTTTATTTAAAAAAAAAAAAAAAATCTTATCAGACACAGTTAAAAGAGCCATGTATTTCTCCTTTGTCTAAGTCCTATCCCTCCCTCCCCAGGCCTTGAATTTCTTTTTTCTCGTTCCATGTTTCATGTATAAACCATATAAAATATATTCTCTACCTTTATTAGAAATGTAGACACCCTTAAAAATGGCACAATCTAACATGATTTACTCTTCATGTAATAATATTCTGTTTAGTTGATCCAGAAGTTTATCTTTTATACTCAGTACTAATATTATAAATATGTGTTGGTAAATCTATGACAAGATTACTGGTTTTAATTGATGTATAGTATTCCATTGCATGAATATAACACAATTTGTCCAACTAAAGTAAATTTCCAATWTTTTTGCTATTTTAAAGAGTTCTCCAATAACATTTTTCTTCCAATAACATAATTGCTTCCCCTGGCACATTTGCTAGAGTTTCTTAAGAGTGGATTACTCAAATGATCCATTCTATGATAACAGTTTATGGACATCAGCTGAAATTAGGCACACAGAGTGACAATTCTTGTGGCAATTCTTAGTGTTAGGTTACATGGAATTTCATTTACAAAATGCTTTCCAATTTCTCTACAGCAACAGTGTAGGAGAGTCCCATGGCCTCATAGTCGTACCAACTTGTGGTATTTCAAGATTTAAAAACATTGACTAACACTTGTTGTATTTCTGATATTGGGAAAGCATCACTTAAAGAATGATACTTTCCATTGTTTCTGGTAAAAGTGATTTATTGTATGGAGGGCATTCCTTCCATTTTCTTTTGAACAAAATTTTTTTATCAGGAAAATAATGAAATCCTGTATCTGCTTCCATCGAAACAGTAAGACATTTTTTCTAAATTAATCTGTAAGTATATTGCATTATATTAAAATACTTTTTAAAATATTGAACCCAGTTTGCTTCACATTGATGGGTTTGATTGCAAAATTTCATGGTAACATTTATGAATAAGATTGACCTGTAATTTTCTTTTCCTCTGCTCTATCATCTGATCAAGGTTATCCTCAGAAAAGAATTAAAGAACCAGGTGTGGTGGCATATGTCCATAGTCCCAATGACCTGGGAAGCTGATGCAAAGCAACGGAAAGTTTCAGGCCAGTTCTAACCAATTTAGGTGAGATCCCCATCTCAAAATAAAAACCAGGTAGCTCAGTGGTAGACTACCTCTGGGTTCAATCCCTAATACTGAAAAATAAGAACAAAACATTAAGAATTGTTGAATGTTCTCTTTTCATAATATGAGACATCTGATCCTTGAATATTGGTGGAATTTGCTTATAAAACTAGCTAGATCTGGTAATCCTTTTGTTTTTTTTTATTATTTTGTGTTAGTTTATTATTATAGATCTTTTGGGATTTTGATCCTTCTTGAGTCATTTTAGATATATTTCTTTTTTAAAAAAAGGAATTTTAAATTTTTGTACCTTTTTAAATTTTACAGATAAGGATTTTAATTAACTAAGTTGTGGTGCTGAGAATTGAATCCAGGGTCTTGTGCTAGAAAATCACTCTATCACTAAGCTATATCCCTAGCTTCTTTTTAAAATTTTTATTTTGAGGGAGGGTCTTGCTCAGTTTCCCAGGCTGTCCTTGAACTCGTGATCCTCCTGCCTCAGCCTTCCAAGAACCTAGGATTACAAGTGTATATCACCATGCCCAACTAGTGTGATTTTTAAATCTCTACTGTGTTTATAATTATGTTGTTGGAACATAACCCCAATTATTCCTCGAGTCTCATTCTACACTTGTATCTTCTCTCCTGTTCTTATCATAGGATCATTCATTTACTTGGTCTATTTAATAAAACCCCCTTTTCCAACTTTTACTCTTTGTTTTCTGGTTCATTAATTTCTTATCTCTTCTTTATTCCTTTCTTCCTTCTGCTTGCTTTGGGAGTATTCTTTTTAATTTTCCCAGAGTTGTTGAGGTTTTATTAACATAAAAACTACACATATTTATGTTAGATAATCTGGTGCTTTGACAATGTATACGCAGTGATTACCACAATTAAGCTAATTAACTTTTCATCACCTTGCATAGTTATATTTTGTATGTGTTTATGGTGAATATGAGATTTACTGTATAAGCAAGTTTCTAGAATATAATACAAGGTTGGCAACTATTGTCACCACACTGTGTATTTGATCTCCAGAATTTATTCATCCTGCTTAACTGGAACTGAATTCCCTTTGATCAACATCTCCCCAATTTCCCCCACTCCATGTCTCATAGCAATTACCATTTTACCTATGATTCTGTTAGTTTGACTCTTTGATATCTCATAACTAAGTGAAATCATACAATGTTTTTTCTTTCTGTCCCTTGATTATTTTCATGTAGTGTAATGTCCTCTGGATTCACCTTTTTTCAAATGAATGAATTTCCTTATTTTTCAAGGCAGAATAATATTCTATTGCATATATACTACAGTTTCTAAATTCATTCATCTACTGGTGTGCAATTAGGTTGATTCCATTTCTTGGCTGAAAAACTTCAGTGGACATGGGAAAGGTATCTCTTTGAAATCATTATTTCATTTCCTTTGGCAAAATACATAGACATGGGATAAACTGGATCATGAAGTTCTATTTTTAATTTTTTGAAAACCTCCATACTGTTTTTCATAATGGTAATACTAGTTATCTTCCTACCAATGATGTTTAAGGGTTATCTTTTCCACACATATTATTCAACACCTAGCTTTTGTCTTTTTGGTAATAGCCATCCTAATAGGTGTGAGTTGATATTTCATTGTTGTTTTAATTTGCCTTTCCCTGATGATTAATGATGTAGAATATTTTTTATACACCTGTTGGTCATTTGTGTGTCATCTCTGAGAAATATCTATCAGAGTTTTTGCTCATTTTTAATGAGGTTATTTATTTTCATACTATTGAGTTGTTTGAGTTCTTTATATATTTTGGATATTAATCTCTTATCAGATACATAGTCTGTAAATATATTCTCCCATTTCATAGGTTGTCTCTTTGTTGATTGTTTCCTTTGCTGTTCTTGAGCTTTTTAGTTCAATGCAATCCTATTTGTCTACTTGTGTTGCTTGTGTTTGGGGATCATTGCCAGACCAATGTCAAGGAGTTTGTCTATAAGTTTTCTTCTAATAGTTTTACAGTTTGAAGTCTTTAAATCATTTTTAAAATAATATGAAAAAAGGGTCTATTTATATCTCATCATGGGGATAGCTAACTACCACACCACTTWCTAAAGATAGTTTCCTTTCCATATTGTGTGTCTTGTCATTTTTGTTGAATATCAGTTGACCATAAATGTTTAGATTTATTTCTGGGCTCTCTATTCTGTTACTTTTGTCCAAATGTCTATTTTAGTGGCCGTACCATGTTTTAATTACTAGATCTTTGTAGTATATTTTGAATTCAGGTAATGTGATTCCTCCAGCTTTGTGTGTTTTGCTCAAGAATTATTTGGCTATTCAGGACCTTTCAGTTGTCCAATATAAATTTTAGGGCCACCTTTTTCTGTTTCTGAAAAATAAATTCTATTTCCTTTGTTGGTATATTTTTGATGACTGATGTAATATCCTTACACTATTATTGGTGTGTTTAGATTTTCTATTTCTTTTTCATTCCATTCTGATAGACTATATGATTCTAGGAATTTATCCATTTCTTCTAGGATACCTAGTTTGGGGCTCATAAATGTTTATAGTAAACTCTTGACCCTCCTTTGTTTTTTGGAGAAACTGGTTGTGATTTTCCTCTTTCATTTATACTTTTACTTACTTGAGTCTGTTTCTTCATCTAGCTAAATATTTGTTGATTTTACAGTTGTCATTTGTGTAGAATATATTATTTTTCCAACCCTTCACTTTCGGTCTGTGTGTCCTTAGAGGTGAAGTGATTTTCTTGTAAATAGTTCTGTCATTTTTAAAAATTAATTCATTCTGTGTCCTAATTGAAGATTTAATCCTCTTATATTTAAAGTAACTATTGGTAGGTGAGGACTTACTGCTGCAGGTTTATTTGTTGCTGTCTGACTTTCTGTTACTCCTTTGTTTCTTTTTTCCTCTCTTGCAGTTTCCCTTTCTTTCATACATCTGCTACAAGTGTTCTCTTTATACTTACCATGATTAGGACAGTTTGGCAACTCTTACTGTTTATAAAAACTCATCACTTCAATGTCTGCTCATTGAAGACCGTAATCTTTCAAGAAGCCAGAGAGCTCTGGGTCCAATTTAAGTTTGTGTGTAGACCATGATCTAATTGCAAATGAGCAGCCAGGATTTTTGCTGTTTCTGAGAAAGGCTTGACTGAAATCTTCAGGACTATTGCAATGTGCTTCCAGTTATTCCTAATTCTTGTCTTCCTAAATCTGAATCACCATTAAAAATGAGTCCTCTTAAACCATCAGTTGTCACCTTTATCATTGCATCAAATTCACTCATGAAGTTTGAAAAAATAAAAAGATGCTTAATCCTAGTCTAAGATATTTTAATTAAGCAGATCCTTTGTGGTTTCAAGGATCTGGCAATTCTGTTATCTGGTCAGGGTTAAGACTCATTGTCTTAAAAAAAAAAAAAATCATACTGCTTTCCATGGGACACCTTCAGGTCCTGCCTTATATATATTTTAGATTCCAAGCTCTTGGTCTTAGCATTGAGCCCCTCTCTCCACTTGATGCCTGTGCTGTATTACTCCCCTTCACATTTCTTCTCCCTAGCCACCTGGAATACTGTGATCTCTAAACTCCAAAACAGTAAGGATAAAATTTTATTCGCCTTTATTACATTTTCTACCCACTCAGCACACTAATAAGTTTTTTAAAAAAATTCTCAAATACCATCGTTTGAACACTTTTTCCTGTGTTTTAAACTTGCTGGAAACAGAAAAAACTAAAACCAGAAAATGTACTTTTAGAGTGATCCAAATTATCCTTTTATTTGGAGATATGCTATTTTACTGTATTCCAACACTCCACATTTCACATAAAACTGTACACCCAAACCAACATTTTTGATAAATATTTAGCAAAACAGCAATTCTAGAACTCCAGCATCACTTGAGATGCTTATTAAAAATACAAATTAGGGTATTAGTATAACATTCATATTTTATTGTGATTTCTATTTTTATACAAAATAAATATTCACCTTTGTTAAAACTAAAGTCCTGAATTCCATTGAAAACCTACTTAAAATTAATAATATAACAATCACAATTTATAACACACTTTGGCTTATTGGAGAGGTAGCTTTGGATGAAACCCAGACTCCTGGGTCCCTTCATTCCTCCTATGGATGGAGAATAGCCTGTGCTATCCAAGGTGATGTGAAAGGAAGAAATGGATCCAATGTGTATAGAGGCATGGTGTACAAAGGCTTGGAATACTTGTTAAAGATCATTTTGGGGGCCACAGAAATACATGGAAGCAAGTTTCTAGAGCAAATGTACAAAGACTAGGGTGAGTTTAAATCGTAACTGAGTAAAAAGTTAACAAAACTATGAAATATTTTAAAATTTAGTTTGAGGGGCATGTCTAACCCTCAGATCATCAAGTCAGAGATCCTTTTAAAAKTCTTTATTTACTCAAAATGTCAGCAGAACTGGGTGAATCCATTCCAATTAACATTAAAATTATGTGAGAATAACTTCCATTGGGGAAAAGATGGGACACGCCATTGCTCAGCTGACCCCCCAAACTCCACCGTTGTTTAACAAAGGGATCAGTGGTGTTTATTAGACTGTCCTCTCTCTTTTTGGTGATGGTGACAGCTCCTGTAATGTATTGAAATGCAGTAAAGTGCCATTTGTATGTCAATCCCCAGTGAACTGAAATCAAATGTCCCTGTTATTTCCCAAATATTAGAAGCCTCTTTGATTTGCATGATATTTGATATTTCTTTGTAACTTGATATTTCTTTTTCATTTGGTCCCTCTCTTATGGGTCTTCAGTGAAGTTGGAGATTTACCATTTTATTCCTCTCTGTCTGTGCCCTGTGATCCTGTTTCTTGGACAGGTGGACACTCTCCTTCCAGGAGTTGTGCAGAGGCAGACAGTCCAGATTTTTACATTTTTCAGCTCTTGATCTAATTGGTAGAAACCCCTTATGCAAGCAAAAGGAGAGTTAAGGAATTACCCCACTGGCATGTTGTGGAGGATAGATGAGAGAGAGGTGGAAGTGAAGACGCTTATGAAGTCACTTTGCAATGAGAACTTATTCATAACACACCTGTAAGAACTTGTAAGCAAGAGGTTTTATTTAGCCGCTAAAGAAGACAAATTAGAGGAGATCAAAGTTATGAAAGATACTCTATAGCAAAAAGACTCTACGGGTTTTTTGGGTTTTTTTTTTTTTTTTTTGATCCATAACATAGAAACAATAGGTCACCCTGAGATTTGGAGGAAGTGCATGTGAAACAAACTATTTACCCTCTAAGTGTAGAACTCATAGAATTAATGCTCACAGAATCTCTGAGGCAAAAATGTAGTTAGAAACAATAGTAATATCTAGTTAGTGACTTGTAAATAACTTTATGAATTCTAAATTCAGCCTGTGTATATAACATACTCAGCTCTGCTCAGTTTGTTAGAAATCCATATACATTAAACAGGTGCATCTGGGCCCTTGTAATAATATTATAAATAGTTTATTGGCTGAGGAAACACAGCTTTATTAAAAGCAGGTATCAACTTCAAGCTAAGTGCCCACATTGTTGCTTCCAGAAGCTGTGATTTAAGCTGCACATCACTGATCATTGGAGGCATGTGAGCTCCTTAGGCCACGGGATTCTATTAAGTGCTTTAGAAGAGGTCATCTAATCTACTGAATAGGCCTGAAAGATGGAAAGCTCCTCCAAACACAAGCAGCTGCTCCACTTCTCAACAACAGGATCAGGGACCTGGGAATATTATTTAAGCTGCCTAGGAAAGGTAGGTGAGGGTGCTGGGCAGAGGGCAGGCAATTATCTCTTTGCTATGTGTTAAGCAGCATTTTSGCCTAACTGATCAATTACTTCCAGCTGTTGGCAACAATTTTCTCCTCCTCATGGCAGAAGGAGAGACCCTGGCAAATGTTGAAGAGCGGAGTCACTGATTAAATCCCAGATCCAGCTGGAGGCCAGAGTCGAGGAGCTGTCTGAGTGGGTGGAGGAAGAAGAGGAGATAAATTCTGCACTGACTGCCAGGGGGCGGAAACTCCAAGATGAATGTTCTGAGTTGAAGAAAGAAATCAATGACCTGGAAACAATATTAGCGAAGTCAGAGAAGGAGAAGCATGCTTCAGAGAATCAGGTGCGTTTTCTGTAATATTAGGAAGGCCCAGATGCCTGGATTCCACTCCCAGACCAGGCTTCAGTACCCACAGTGTGCTATTTACTTAATACAATGGCCTGCAACTTCATAGCACTGAGAGTCTGAACTGGCATTAAAATAAAGGGTCTGATAAACTGTGATTTCCCAATTTGAATTTAGGGAGCCTCACTTAATCCACCAAATGAAATATTATCATTTGCTTTAGTCTAATGTCATCTGAAATCTAATGGAAAGAACCAAATGGTTTCATGGGGTCCCTAAATCTATTTTTTGGAAGGAGAAAGAGCATGATGACATTTGCAAAAAGGTAATTTGGGATGTGTTTGAAAACCAATTTCTGCCAATGATTTGGATTTGCACCTTGCAGCCATCACTTTAATTACAGTTCATGGAGAATTCTGGCATTTTCTTTACTTGTGAGTTTTGATTTCTGTATCTATTTGTGGATTGAGATTAGTGAGGAGTCTTTATAAAACCTTTGACAAACAGCTACTCTTCAAAATGACTCTGTAATTTTGGCAAATAATTAAATATCAGTTATTGTGTTTATCGATTCCCTCCCATAAACAGCACCAGGGCCTGATAAAGCTAGCTTCCACTTTTGCATGTGTAACCTGCTGGAACCCTTCTCTATCTGTCCCTCCCTTGGGACTCTGGAGCAAAACAATTAGTGCCTGTCCCCTGAATCCTTAAAGGAGAGCACAATTACCTTTACTGGAGTTGTTATCATCCAGTAATACAAGGCTCTGACAATGATCTGTCCATTAAGTCATTGGTAACTGAGCAGAATGCATTTTTCCATGCCAGATTACATACACATATATGCATACATATATTTTTATTTTTTCTTTGTGGAAGAAAACATAGTTTTATGGACTATATCAGGAATTTGGTTAAATGTAGCTCTTGATGACATTGGATACTTCAATAGGGTTTTGGACCACAAAAGGGAAGACCCTTGGTGTCATGCTCACACTTCCAGTGGTGGCTCTAATGAAGATCTCTGTGTTCTCACAGGTCAAGAGCTTGACTGAGGAGGTAGAATCTCTGATAAGGAAATCAGCAAACTTAACTGAGCAACCAAGTCCATGCGGAAAGTTCCTTAGCAGACCCAGGAGTATCTGTACACAGAGGAGAAACAGAGCAACTTGAGCAAATCAATCCTGAACCTGGGGCAGCACGTTGATGAGGTAAGTAGCAATTGGTGGAGCTAGTTAGCAATCTGTATGTTCACACTTACCTCCAATTAAAAAAAAATCATGGAGACATAATATTTGTACATCTTTATGAAGTACATTGTGGTAATTCAGTTCGTGTATACAATGTATAATATTCAAATCAGGGTAATGACATTTGCATCTCTTCAAACATGAGTCATTTTTATGTTTGGAATTTTGTGCTCTTATAGTGACTTTAAAATATATCATAGATTTTTTAATGAAAAAGTTCTATAGAAAAGTCAGAAGTAATTCCTCCACTCTGTTTTGTTACCCCTTATTGAACTTATTTCTGTATCCTCTCTCCACTTTCCACAAATGAGTAATAACAAGGCATATTTGTTTTTCTGTGTTTTGCTTATTTTACTTAATCTAATGACCTCAATTCCAAATATGTTGCTGCAGATGACAAGATTTCATCCTTTCTACGGGTGAATAATATTCCTTTGTGCATACACAAACACACACACACACACACACACACACACACACACACCCCACATTTTCTTTATCAGCTTGTCCACTAAAGAACATATAGGTTGATTCCATATTTTAGCTATTGTTAATACTGCTGCAATAACCATGAGAGTGCAAGTGTCTTTCTGGTATAATGATTTCATCTCTTTGGATATATATCCAGTAGTGAAATTGCTTATTCATATGCTATGTCTAGTTTTTTGAGGAATCTCCATTTGCTTCCTATAATAGCTTTGCTAATTTATGCTAAGTGTATAAGAATTCACCTTTCTCCATATCCTAGGCAGCATTTGTTGTTATTTGTCTTTTCATTGATAGCCATTCTAACTGGGGTGAGATGTTAGCTCCTTGTTATTTTGATTTCCATTTGAGATTGATCATTTTCTCATATTTGTTGACCATTTGTATATCTTCTTTTGAGAAGTSTCTACTAAGTTCTTTAGCCAGATTTTTATCTGAATTATTTGTTGTTTGGTGTTCAGCTACTTGAGTTCCTAAAATCTAGATATTCTAGATTTCATTCCTTGTCAGATGAATAGTTTCAAAATATGCTATGCCATTCTTTAGGTTATCTCTTAATTCTGTTCATTGTTTACACTACTGTGCAGAAGCTTTTTAGTTTGATATAATTCTAATTATATATTTTTAATTTTGTTGCCTGTGCCTTTGGGTCCTATCCAAAAATTAATTGCCTATACCAGTATCTTAAAATTCTTCCTCCTAACTTTTGTTGTATTAATTTCATAATTTCTGGTTTAACATTTTAGATTTTGATACACTTGGAGTTTTGTGTACAGTGAGAGGATCTACTTTCATTCTTTGCAATATATATATCCAATTTTTCCAGCATCATTTACTGAAGAGACAATATTTTCTCTACTATGTGTTCCTTGTGCCTTTATAAAAGACTTTTGGCTGTATAAACATGGATCAATATATGGCTTCTCTATTCTACTCCACTTGCTTGTATTTCTGTTTTTATGCTAATACCATGCTATTTTGGTTACTATAGTTTTGTTGAAAGTCTTGAAGTCGGTATTATGATACCTCCAGTTGTTTTGTTTTTTCTTGCACAGAATTGCTTTGGCTATTCTGGGTCTTTTGTTTAGGATATTTTATTCTATTTCTGTAAAGAAAGTCATTTGCACTTTGAGGAAATGTGAATTTATAGATTACTTGACTCTTTAGATTATTTTGCTGGTACTATCATTTTTAACAAAATTAGTTCTGATCCGTGAACATGATATACCTTCCTTTTCTTTTCTCCTCTTTGTTTTCTTCAGTGACTTATAATTTCCATTATAAAGATATTTTAATTCCTTGGTTAAATTTCTTCTTACTACATTATGTACAACCAGAAGAATGAGAAGTTATACCCCATATATGTATGTTGTGTCAACATGAATTCTACTGTCATGTATAACTAATTAGAACAAATAAAAAAATTATTCCTAATATGTCTTCTGTAGATATTGTGTGAATGGCACTGATTTCTCAATTATTTTTTATGAAAAGCTCATTATTGGTTTATAAAAATACTACTGCTTTTGTATGTTGATTTTTGCATCCTGTGCAATTTACAGATTCATTATGTTATGATAATAGCATTTTGATGAAGTATTTAGGTTTAACTATGTATAAAACCATGTCATTTACATACAAGGAAATGTAATTCTACCTTCCCACCATGGGTGCCATTTATTTCTTTCTCTTGCCTAATTCTTCTTGCTTAGGCTGCCAACTACATTAAATAGGAGTGAGAAAAGGTGACATCATTGTCTTGTTCCCAATCTTATAGGAAGTGCTTTCAGCTTTCCCCCTATTCAATATGATTTTGACTGTGGGTTTTTCATCTATAGCCTTCAGTATTTTAAGGTATGTTCCTTCTGTACACATTATGAAAGAATGTTGAAATTTATGAAATACTTCTTCAGCATCTGTTGAAATGATCATATGTGTTTTGTCCTTCATTCTGTTAATATGTTGTATCATTTTTATTGATTTGCATTGTTGAATCATCCTTGCATCCCTGGGATAAATCCAAGTTAATCATAGTGTATGATCATTTTGACATACTGCTGAACTCAATTTGTTTGTATTTTATGAGAATTTTTGCATATATGTTGATCAGGGTATGAATCTATAGTTTTTGTTTTATTGTATCTTTATCTGGTTTTGGTATTGGAGTAATGATGATGGCCTTGATGAGAGTTTGTCAGAGTTCTTTATACTTCATTTTTAAACTCATTTAAAGAAGGATTAGAATTAGTTCTTTAAATGTTTTGTATAATTAAAAAGTAAAGTCATCAGGTTCTAGACTTTTTTAGATGGGTTATTTTAGATTACTCATTATTGATCTGTTTAGATTTTCTATTGTTTTCTTGATTTGATTTTGCTATGTATGTATTTATAAATTTTTCCATTTCTTCTAGGTTTTCCAGTTTGTTAGTGTATAATTTTGAGAAGTTTATTATGATGTTTTCAATTTTTGTGGTATCAGTTATACTATCTCCTTTTCATCTCTGACTTTATTTATTTGGGTCTTCTCTTTTTTTCTTGGTTCGTCTAGCTAAAGGTTTGGCAATTTTTAATCCTTTCAATGTTTTTATTACTTTTATTTAACTAATCTTTTATTATTTTATTTACTTATTCTCTTTATTGTCTTTCCTTCTAATAATTTGGGATTTGGGTTTGTCTTGATTTTCTTAGCAATTTCTTAGCAGTTTCATGTTGTTTATTTAAGATCATTTTTTAATGTATGCCTGTATTTATTACTATAAACTTTCCTGTCAATGCTGATTTTATTGTATCCTACATATTTTGATATATTGTGTAGTAAATTACACTTGTTTCTTGGAATTTTTTGATTTCTCTTTTAATTTCTTAAATTATCCACTGGTAATTTAGGAGTATGGTATTTAATACATTTGTAGACCTCCCATTTTTCTTCTTCTTTTTGGTTTGTAGTTTCATTCTTTTGAAATCCAAGAAGGTACATGATATGATTTTGATATTTTTGATTTATTGAGACTTGATCTGTAGCCTAACAGATGATCTGTCCTGGAGAATGTTCAATGTGTTTATGAGAGAATATTCACTGTGCTACAATTGGATGAAAACTGTAAATTTGTATTAGCTCTATTTGCTCTAAAATATGGCTCAGGACAGATATTTCTTTGTTGATTTTCATTCTGGACAGTCTGTCTATTGATAAAAGTGGGGTGTTGACGTACGCAACTATTAATAGGATCTACCTGCCCCTTTACTTTTAGAAATATTTGCTTTTGTATTTAAGTGGTCACTAGTTGAATACATATATATTAACAATTGTTTTATCTTTTTGCTCAATTGATCCTTTTATCAATATATAATGACTTTCTTTGCCTCTCTTTATAGTTTTTTACTTAAATTACGCTTAACTGATATGTTGATTATTTCTGCTTGCTTTTGATTTCAGTTTGTGTAATATATCTTTTTCCAATATTTCAGTTTTAGTCCATGAAGTGAATTTCTTGTAGTTGGTGTTATGGTTTGGGTCTGGAGTTCCCCAGTGTTGCTATCCTTCTGCTTCAGTCTCCCGAATTGGTGGGATTACAGGGGTATGCCATAAAAGTTTATGTTGAAGACTTGGTCCCCAGTGCAACAATATCCAAAGCTGGAGCTTTTGTGAAGTGATTACATCATTAAGTCTCTAACTTCATTCGTGGATTAATTCACTTAGTGGATTAATAATTTGAATGGACTACTAGGAGAATTGCAAAATGTAGGTGGGTGTTTCCTGGTTGGAGAAATAGATCATTGGGGGAATGTATGCCCTTGTTCCTGGCTCCTTCCTCACTCTCTCTTTCTCTTTCTACATCCTTGCTATTATGAGCTGAGCAGTTCTTCACAACACTCTTATGTGAGGATGTTCTGCTTCCCCTTAACCCAGAGCAATGGAGCCAGTGACTATTAACTGAAACCACGAGCCAAAATAAATTTTTCCTCCTCCAAGTTGTTTATGTCAGGTATTTTAGTCACAGAGATGGAAAGCTGACAATATAGTTAGTTCAGGGTTTTATAATCGCTTCAGCCAGTGTTCTTGTTTTCATTAGTGAGTTTAATCCATTTACATTCAAGGTTATTATTGATAGTATAAACTTCCTCTTATTTTGTTAATGATATTCTTTTTGTCCTATATATTTATTCCTTTATACCTTTATTATTATGTATTTTGTGATTTGATAGTTTTCTACTAATGTTTTATTATCTCTTTCTCATTCATGTATTTGTTCTTCTAGTGTGTTTTGTGTAGTCATGTGTTTTCATGGTGGTACTTATTATCATTTCATTCCTAGTACAGGATGCCCTTAAGTATTTCTGTGCAGGGATGGTCTAGTGGTGATAAATTCCTTCAGCATCTGCTTATCTGGGTAAAACTTTATTTCTTATTCATTTTTGAAAGATGATTTTTCTGGATATAGTATTCTTGACTACAGGGTGTATTTCTTTTAGTA